CACAGCCCAAGACGGGGAATATCCTTCGCGCTCTCCTTCGGCGAACTTCTCCTCTCCTGGCCCCACCTCACCGTCACCCGCCGTCCGCCGCCCGCCTAACTCTCCCGTGGCCGGACCGTCTCGTCTCCCTGCCACTCCTTCGGCAGGTCCGTCCCGTCGCACTCCTCGTTGTGCTTCCTCCGCCGCTCTTCGGCCTTCTACTCCTGTGGCTGGCCCATCTCGTCTCCCGGCTACTCCTTCGGCCGGTCCTTCTCGTCCCACCAGGAGCCGTCCTACTCCTGTCTCAACTCCAGAGGATTCCTCTCTGAGTCTCCCTCCTGCCCTTGGGACCCGAAGCCGTCAACCATCTGTCCCTCCTGCTTCTGGGCTCTCAATTCCTGCCCCTCTTGTGAAAACTCCTCCGAAATCTTCGAAAGGGAAAGGTAAGAAGAAAGCCGTCCAATTCGAACCTGCGGTGGTAGAGAATGAAAGTACTCAGCTACCAGAGGAACTCCCTCCTCCCCTCGACCACCCCTACATTTCCAGCGACCCTCGAATTCCAGAGGAGGAGAAACAACTGGCTACTTTCCGTTCTCTCATTATTGGATTGACCACACATCTCCACGCCAATAGACGAGATACGGCGAAGCTCCTCGAATATTGTATGAAGCTGGTCTCTGGTATGAACACCCTCTCCAGGACAATGGCAACTCTCGTAAACTCCTCGGACATAGGCCCATTAGGGCGAACTGAGTTAGCTAGAGTCTCCCTAGAGCTCCTGACGGAAATGAACGACTTCTACCGCAATCTCTTCGATTCTCCCTTCCTCCTGAACCCCATTGAGTACGCTCTCCCCCCCACACTTGACTGGTTAAAACCACGAAACCCGGCTCGACTCAGTTCTCAGGATGGTGCTTTTCTCGATATCCTGGCTCTTCCCCCCGACTGTCTCCGAACACTTCGACTGTTGTGGAGGCTGCCTAGTCTGAATATGGCTCGTGATTCTGCTCTCCATGCTGATCACATTTTGGCCTTCAATATGGCGTGGAGAGAGACTCGATCCCTTCGGCGGGTCCCTCTATCGAAAGGTGCTGGGAGTGGTTCTGGAGGTGGGTCTGCGCCAGAAGACAGAGAACAGGGAGGAAGTTCGCAGCAGTGAGTTGTACTTAGCTAATGTTGTATCCGTTGTATGAACTACTTCCTTGCCCGTGATCGCACCACTCGTCCTTTCCTCGGTTTGTCAGGGTGAAGTTCGTGGAACTTCGCCAATATGTCATTAGCTCCGTCCACATTCTCTACTGGTTCCCATGATACTGCGTCATCAGAGCCTTCGTAGCCTAACCATTCCACTGGATACTCTAACTTTCCTGACCTCTTATTAACCCTCGAGTCCACAATATCCTTTACTTCCCAAGACTCTCCTACGTTATCTACCTCCACTGGGCCAGGTGGCTCAGCTTGCTGACCCGGAAATACCGGAGGGTGATAGGGACGGAGTAAAGAAACATGGAATACATCATGGATACCTGCCATCGTTCCTGGTAATTCCAGTTTACAAGCATGAGAACCTACTTGCCGTACTACCTTGTACGGCCCACTTTGCTTAACGTCCAACTTCTTCATTGGTCTCTTAGTCTTGATATTCTCTAACGACAGCATAACTAGGTCACCTTCCACGAAGTTCGGCGTAGTTCGATGTTTCCTGTTGTATCCTTCGGCGTACTTCTCGTTAGCTCTCTCAATCCCCTCAATACATTCCTTATGTATTTCAGTTAGGTCCTTTACTGCTATTGTAGCAGCAGGTACCTCGACTTCACTAGCCTTAATCTCTTCAGCCCATCGAGGGTGGTACCCATAATTCGCATAGAATGGGGTCTTGTTTATCGCGGAATGATGGGTGTTGTTATAAGCAAAGCTAGCTCGAGCAAGCAGCTTCGACCAGTCATTCTGCTGGTAGGAAGTGAAGATTCGAAGGTATAATTCCAGGGACTGGTTCGTTCGTTCGGTCTGTCCATCAGTCTGTGGATGATACGCGGTAGAAAGATGTAGTCTTATCCCGAGACTATCGGTCAAGTTCTTCCAGAACTTCGAAGTAAACTTCGATCCTCTGTCTGATACTATACTCTCTGGTAATCCATGCTGGGCCACCACATAGTCCATTATCAGCTCTGATAGTCCAGCTGCGGTTAACTTCGTCGTGGTTGGGATAAACAAGGCCCATTTTGTCAGTCGATCCACGACCACTAAGATAGAGTTATATCCATGGGAATTTGGGAGTTCTTCGATGAAATCCATCGAGATACTTGACCAAGGTTTTGTCGCTACTTGTAGGGGTTTAAGTTCTCCATGAGGCTTCTGTCTGTTAGTCTTAGCTCTCTGACATACCGCACAACCAGCGACATAGTCTTCTACATCCTTCCTTACTCCAACCCAAACATAATCCCTTAGGATTAGTTCAAGGGTCTTCGCTGAACCTGGGTGACCAGCCAAAGCCGAGTCATGTTGCATCTTCATGATCTTTAGTCGAGCGTCGGCGTAGTTCGGCACATAAGTGCGATCGTCGAATGCGAGGAAACCTCTCGGGGTCCACCCCCCACGAAGTATTAGAGGAGATCGCGAACTACGGCGTAGTTCAGTGATTGATCCTGGTTCCTGTACATCATCATGACACGTCGGATGAGAACACTCAGCGCAGATAACTCCTAGTAACTCCTCTCTAACCTCCTCGACATCTTCGTCCTCCTGAACTCCAAGTATCAGATCCATAGGGTCAACAAGATCATTGTCCTTCACTTCCCTTGTCCCTTGCAAGGCTCGAAGGAGGTGGCGTAACTCCGACGTGGTGGCGTCAACTTCGTCGAACTTCGGCAGACCTTGAATAAGGTTACTCTCTTGCATCATGGTACTTCCTTTTCCTGAGTGATAATCCGCCTGTCTAGACAATCCGTCTGGAAGGCTTGCCTGAGTTCCTGGTCGATAGACCATTTTAAATCTGAAGTTAGCTAACTCTTCTACCCACCTACCTTGACGGGGGCTGAGTTGCTTCGGCTCCATCCAGTAAGTGAGATTTAAATGGTCGGTAAGGACCGTGGTTTCTACCTGCAGTAGTAAGTGTCTTCTTCTCCTGAAACCCTCAACTACGGCGAGGAACTCCTTTTCTCCTACCGTGTAATTTAGCTGGGCCGTGTTGAACGCGCCTGACTCGATAGCGACAGGGTGCTCTTGACCAGCTGCGTTAATCTGCGAAATTATGAAACCCCAGCCGAAGAACGAGGCGTCTGTCTGTAATATGGTCTTCAATGTAGGGTCAAAGTGAGCTAACACCGGCGCAGTACACATCCTAGCCTTCAATTCCTTAAAGGCTGACTCCTGTTCTGCTCCCCACACAAACGGTACCTCCTTCCTTGTCAAATCATTGATAGGTCTAGCAATCTTCGAGAAGTTGGGGACGAAACGCCTGTAATAGCTCACAACCCCAATGAAACCCCTCGACTCTCGTAGATTCTTTGGACGTGGGAAGGATGTGATGGCGTCAATGTACTCTGGATTAACCGATACACCTCGAGAGGAGACCACAAAACCCAGAAATACCACAGAATCTCTTTCAAACTCGCACTTACTAGCTTTCACGTACAAGCTCGCCTTCCGCAGCACTTCAAAGACCTTCGCCGTAGTTCCTCGTAATTCCTCCAATGTGTTCCCATAAATGAGGATATCGTCAATGTAGACCACGACTCCATTCCCTAGTAGTTCCCTAAACACCTCGTTCAGGAAGTGCTGGAAGACAGCAGGGGCGTTTCGCAGCCCATCACGAACGACAAGAGATTCGAACATACCATACTGTGTCCTGAACGCCGTCAGGTGTTCATGTCCTTCTGTCACCCTCAACAATTGGTACGCCCCAATTAGGTCTAGTTTGCTGAAGTACCTTGCTTTTCCAAGTTCTTCGGTAATCTGGCCTATTAATGGGAGAGGGTAGGCATCTGGTATGGTCGCTTCGTTCAGTTTTCGGTAGTCGATGACCATTCGCCATTGTCCCTCGGCTTTCTTAGGTATCATAAACATCGGTGAGCCGTACGGCGAGTTACTTGCTCAAATTCGGCCAGCGGCGATTTCGCGATCTAGTATGTCTCTCAGCGCGCGTCTCTGATCTTCTCCTTGAGCATAGAGGGAGGCGACCTTCAGGTTCGCCCCCTCCTTAAGCTCAAACTTCAAATCGTAGGACCTCGAAGGGGGAAGGGTCTCTCCTCCCTTCTTCGGATTAAACATGTCAATGTACTGGTGGTATTGCTCAGGAACTACCTGGAACAACTCGTCTTGTTCCTCCGGGCTCAGCTCTTCAAGCTCATCTTCGCCTCGGAGGTCTGTCTCGTCGGTTCGGGTCCTGAGCCCTATGGCTGCCAGGACCGCAACATCTTTCGTCTGTGGAAAGGGAGAGGATAACTCTTCCCTTTCAATCGGCAAGGGTAGGGGAAAGGACACTGCACTTCCCTCATTGTTCGTCTGGGGAGTAGGGAAGGATATCATATTCGCTCCCCCATTCAGGATTACTCCCTCTCCCCTCATCCATTCCCATCCTATCACGACATCCGCGTCGCAAAGGGTGGTAACATCCAGCTTAATTGGGCGAACCTCGCCTAACTTCTCGACACCCAGACTCACTTCGACAAACTCCGTAATGGGTCTAGCCACACTAACCGAGCCATCGAACATGTGAACTGGTACACTCACGGGGTATTTCCTCTTCTCCCTCCTAATCTTCCTGGCCGCCTTGGGACTTATATACGAACAGGTCGCTCCAGTGTCCCACAGGGCCGTTAGTTCAATTCCTTTGACATACACGTTAGATTTGGGTTGGTTGTTACAGGTGGAAGGGATTAGGGTATGACAGTCGTTTATACATTTCGGAGTGGTGTTTACGGATTTATATACACATTTACCTGGTCTCATCAGCTCTTTCCTTTCACTGGGGGTAGGAATAGTGGCCGAGAGAATATGAGTGCGGACCCGCCGAGTCTCGCCTATCGCGACGGGTCCCCATCTTTTTCCTCCTCGTCCATCCCCTGCTCTCCAACACCTGCTTCCTCCCTTCCGACTGCGTTGATCTTCTTCCTGTCCCCAAGAGGGACGGCGTTCCCCCCCGTGCTAAATCTCCCTTCTACTCCAGCATTTTGTCCAAAAGATCGCAAGGGGATGATCCCTGCTTTGATCTTCGCCGCTATTACAGGACAATCCCGGTTATAATGCCCTGTCTCTCCACATCCAGTACACTTCCCTTCCTCTCGACGCTTTAAAACCTCATCAGCACTGGGTCTCGGCCAACGACGATTTAGTTCGTCTACATCCGTTGGTATCGCCCTTCCCCCATTCGTGCCCTTAGGCTGCACGCCCTCGATCTTCGCCGTAGATTGCCATTTCTCCTGGCTCCCCCGTTCCTCTCCTCGATTTACTTCCTCTCTCCTCTCCCCCTGTTCCTTCACCTCCTTCCTCTTCTTCTCATTCTCCTTCTCCACCTTTCGTTGGTGCAAGCGATTGTCCATGGGGACCACGAACTCAATTAATTCTCGGACGGTCTTGAAAACTTTTCCATGGCGAGCAATTTCATCCAGTAAGTGACTTTTCAGTCCGTTCTTTGCCCGGTCCACGAGGTTTCCATCATCACCCCATCCTAACACCGCTACATATCGTTGAAAGGCGGCGAAGTACGCCGAAGCCGACCCATTCTGCCGAAGCTCGTTTATTCCCCTTGCGGCGGTTCCTTCTTCGTCAGGATCTCCAAAATTGGTTTTGAGATATTGGATGAACTTCTTATAGTCTAGAAGGTGGTCGGGGGGGTCGTCCTTAGGTAAGTCCGATTGGACGGCAAGAAGAGGAGTTTCACGTAGATGGGAGATCATGAAAAAGATTTTTACTCGGTCGGTGGGGAACTTGCGGGCGTTGATTTCGAAATGGACTTCACATTCTGAGATGAATGCCGTGAGCTTTGACCTCTCGCCCCTCCACAGGTCTGGGAGGGGAAGCTTTATCCCTCCACTCATCTCAGCAACTCCTGGGGTCGCCGAAGCTTGCCTTCCAATGGCGAGCCGTACCCCCTCCGAGATCCCCTCGACTATTTCCCCAACCGTCTCCTGTTCCTTCTTCTTCTCCTGCTCCTCTCGACGTTTCCTCTCTGCTATCATATCCTTATTCATCTCCATCATCATGTTCATTATTGCCAGCATCATCTTCTGTGTTGTGGCCTCCTCCTCAGTTCCTCCTACTACTTCGCTCCCGGCCGAACTTAGCCTACCTCCTGTGTTCCCTTCCCTTGGTCGTGGGGTCTGTCCCGAATCTTCGGAACCTGTCCTCACCGCTGGTGGTTCTGGTAGTCCGGTTTGTTGGGGAGGTGGTTCAAAAGGCAGGGGTGGATAGAAATCATCGCCTTGAGTTGAACCTTCGGGGGTATCAATTGCACCAGGCAATGGTCCCAAGCTTTGTCTTAATTCCTCCAACATCCTCCTCTCCGTCTCCCCTACTGTTTCTCCTGGTCTACTCATACTTCTTGTAACTCTCCTCTCTGGCTGCATACAATCTCGAACTTCTCCGAGGTTTGCACGGGTCGTCGGTAAGAGCGATCCTTGATACTGTCACAATCGTCGTTTCTTCTTCTCTACTGACCGACGGTCGACAAACCTCGGCTAACTACGTCGTAGTGGGGCGTCGATGTCTCACTAAGACAGGGTACTCGTCGAGGAACTACGGCTAACTTCGCCGTAGTGATACGTCGAGTGGTGAATGATAAGATGATCGTCGATGAACTGCGGCTAACTTCGCCGTAGTACGTTGAACTGCTCGGTGGTAGCTCTCCTTAACTCGAAGGTTGTAGCTACTGACAACAATCAAGGATCGCTGAAGAAGTTCAGCGATCTGTAAACTATCTATACTACTCCTCTCTTCTCATAGAATGTCCCTCAACTCCTGCACTGCCTCACGCTCAGTCCTCTTCGTTCAACTTCGCCGTACCTCGCCATATCCCCGATATCCTACTCCGCTCACTTTGACTAACTTCGCCTAACTTCCCCTGTTCTGCTCTCCCTCGGTTCCCTTCTCCTAACTTCGCGGTAGTTCTCCGCTAGGCGGGGTTATCGTGACAAATCCCCTCTTGGTTCTCGTAACTTAGCCGTCGTTGGTCTCAGTGGTTCGAGTGGAGGTTGGTAGTGGTGAAAGGAAGGTCGGTGATGGTGAAAGGAGGGTCGGTGATGGTGTTTGTCAGGGATGTTACGACGTAGTTCGTGACAGCAGATTGGGATTCCTGGGCTTTCTGGCTTCCAGACAGTATGGCAAAGTCATATTTAAAACCCGCAAACAGCAAACCCCAAGGATGTTTGACTGACCGGCAGATTTTCAATGAGAATTCCATACGCCATGCACTTTGAGGAGCCGTAGCTCAGTCAATACTCAACCCCCAGACTAGATCTTTGCGGATTTGGATTCCTGAGAGTTTGAGCTCTCAGATGATATAGCACAGTCATGTGTCCTGGCCCTGGCCCATGTCTTGCAGAATTGTGCAGACAGCAAGGTCTTTTCTCCCCCCCCCCCCCCCCCCAGATCGCACTGTAACCCCCTAACCCCATACTGTAGAGCGAAGCTGATGAAAGACCGATCCGTTTTCGGGAAGACTTGCCAATGTCTGATGATCTATCTCAACAGAGATGTAATCAGGATGAAACCGTTGTAGAGCTTGGAGATTCTGTAAAACTCTTTCACATTTGACTTGAAATTCAGGACGAGTCGCAAAATTGTCAACAGCGGTGGGAGAAGTACTGGATGGGCGGATGATGAGGACGTCAAGGTCGGCTGGGACCAGAGGAAGCTTGTCCAGAAAGTGAACATTGTCGTATGTAAACAGACAGGTGTGTCCACTATACTTCATCTGACCCCCATTCACCTTCCAAGTTTGGAGTAGGACATGGTAGCGTGACAGTAGCATCTCTTCAATCTGGCTGGGGGGGTCAGGGGGAAGGAGACCTTGCTGTCTGCACAATTCTGCAAGACATGGGCCTGTCAATCAGTAGAGCACAAAGAAGAGAAAGGAGCTGCCTACCAGGATCCATATCATTATCAGCACTCCATATTGATTCACGACCTTTTCGGCATGTACTGCACTTTCCTTCCTTGACATCCATACCAAACCACCGCTCATTGCAGCCACTACAAGTATCAAGCCGCTCTTCTTCTAGAGCAGAGTAGAAGTCCTCAATGTGAGAAATTGCCGTATCTGATAAACATGGTTCATGTAGGTTCTCGGAGGATGTACTGATGGGAAGGAAGGGAGATGGATCTGTTGAATACGAAAGATTGGGTGAATGGATGTCCTGTCTTGCTTGATATCGTTCTCGACTACGCTGAAGGCACATACGGCATGTCTGGCGTCTGTCTCCATTTGCATCTAGGTCATAACAGTTGATGTCTTGCCAGCGACCACATCGTGTACATTTTTGACAATTGGCATTGGGTCTCACACGCACTTGGAGAGGAGGTTGAGGTTCAGGCTGTACTGGGGAAGGAGGGACCACAAAGCGTTGAGGAGGCCTGCAGGATTGTGTTGGCCGTTGTAGAGGTAGAGGACTGGGACACATGGGTGTAGGTGAAGGGGGTGTGGGTGGGCGAGTCCGTGGACGAGCAGCAGCTCGTGAAGAGCCCGGGGTAAGACCTGAAGTCTCAGAGGGAGTACGGTGGGGTGGAGGATGGAAACTGTTTTGTTGACTTGTTTGTGGATTGTCCTCATTTTGACAAGTCAAGCAGGTATGTCTCAATCTTCCACGCTTGTCACGGAAGGCAGGGGTGTCAAGTGTTGAACCACAACGACGACATAGCTGAGGAGGTGTATGGTGTTGAGGTGTGGCTGGAGGGACTGGGGGCTTGTTGCGGCAGAAACAACATGTCTTCAGGAATTGACCAGCGGTTGGGCCTATGTTACTCTTGAGAAAGTGTTGGATGGACAGGGCATCAGGGGATGGTGCTTTACACTTTTGGCGTGGGGCATTGGAGCAGAGCATGTTGAAGGAGAGATGAGTAGAACACAATGGTGAGACCGTACGAGAACTACAAGAACTATCAAAGATAGATAACATAGACTGTTGCATAGTATATCACATTGCCACCATGCATAATACCACGGAGTTTGCTCCTTTTTCTTCCAGGAACACTGCAGAAAGAGCCCGTTATATACCGTGCTACGCCCGGGATCAGAAGATGGCTTCCTGACTTCCTCGGGACGGAAGGGTAAGCTGGGTTTGTCTGTTCTCATACGCCTTGGTTGGGGTTAGAGCGCTAACCGTAAAGTTGGGGGGAGATGTAGTGCTGGAAGGTGAAGGAGTGGTGGTCGGGGTACTTAGGACACGTGACCAGAAGACCTTAGAAGAGTGGCACACCGGAGAATCACATGGACGGACAGTCAATCTTATACATATACTTCTACAGTACTTTTCAGTATCATCACATAGTTTGATACTTTGATACCTTGATACATATCATTATCACCTGAAGCCTATCTCAAAACCCACTCGACCCTAGACAACACTACCAATCCTACATCCACCCCTGCCCGGGGAGGTGTTGCTCCCCAGTAGCCCGGACCTCCAGACCCAAGGGTGGACGGGTCCCTCTTGATGACAGAAGGAGGGTGGTCCGAGGGTGCTACAGCGTGTAGCTGTGTACCCGTACCGTATTGTTCCTGACACCTACCCCTTACCCCTGATTCCTCTGGACTCAGTTGTGGATATAAGGAGTGGTTCTATGTGATATGCATATTCTTTTCCTTCTTTTACCTTTATACATTCTGCATTTGGAGTCGTGTGCTATTCTCACCCGGCACGCGTCTTACAGTGCGACTACACTCCACTCTACGGCGCTCGAGAAGTCTATGGATGAGTCTCGGAGGAGAGTGGCACCCCCTCATGACATGGTCATTACCATTTGATCTCTATTTCTCATGCATGCATGCCCTTAAGAGCATGTCAAGACCACCAATGTGACTGTAAAGAGTGAACCTATGTTCTTATAAAGTCTCTGTCACCCTCAAGTGGGGAAGGAAGGGTCACAAGATGGTTGTGGGAGGGGCCTATCTGTTACGGGGTAACAACGAATCGAGGGAACTCTATCGAGTTCGACGGATTAGGACAGAGGAAAGCGGGAGTTGGAGGCAGTGCTGCAGTAGGTAGGGACGGGTTTTCCCCTTTCGAGATTTTCCCCACTGGGTTTGCTCAAAGCGGTTTTTCACCTGTCCGAGTATGTACATGGACGCTTGCAGTAGGACTGAGAAGAGGAGACGGATACCTGTAGACAGTATATAGTACAATCAGCAAGGTACCAACTTTGCTGATTCTTCAATATCATTCTTTGGCTACATCGATTGCAGAGGAGACACGATCCATTAGCACCAGAGCCCCTAGACTTCCACGAGACCTCCATCGAGTTCGACCCAACCTGCGACCTAGTCGTCGTGTTTCCAGTACCGTTACAAGTTGAAGAATCAGCCTTACGCACCTTGGGTTGAATCGGAGAGTACTGTATGCTCACCAGAGGGAAAGCGCGGAAAATGATACCAGAAAAAGAGGAGTTGGAACAAGGGCTGGTCCCAGAGGAAGAAATACCAACAAGTTCTTCGAGAAGTACCATTTCACATGATCTCACTTCTACTACCACTACCCCAGATCCGCTAAATGAATTATCGCAGCAGTTGTCACAATTGTTAGCCATTATGACGATGCAACAAAAGGAACAAAATACATTAAGGGAAGAACTGGCTACGATGAAAGCTGACCGACAGAACCAACAGATACTCACATCGAAAGGGACAAGTTTGATCGAAGTCGAAGAAAACAAGCCGTGTTTGGAGCCAAAACTTACCAACAACGAACGAACAGGAAGAACCAGGTGTGCGGATCCACCTACCTTCAGTGGAGAACGAGGAGAATTGGACAACTTCCTTGCAGCATGTCACATGAACTTCGAATTCAAAGGGGCAGAGTACGCCACCGATCGCAGAAAGATCCTGTTCATGTACGGGTATCTTCGAGGCACCCCTCAAATGCTTATAACCCCGGCCATAACCAATCCAAGTATATGGAATTCGACCGAATGGCTAGAGAGCTACGACAAATTCATTCAGCATTTACGAACTCAATTTGGAGATAGTAACATGGCAGGTACGGCTATGAGGAAATTGCAAGAGTTAAGACAGACTGATACGGCCGCCGAGTATTTTGCCAACTTCGAACTTTGGTCCACACACCTTGGAAAGGTACCAGATGCAATGAAAATCGCCTCAGCCATACAGGGCCTGAAGGAAGAGCTACTGAAGGTGGTAGTGGTAAATAACACCGACCCTCGAACCAAATCGGACTGGATCTATTTCAAACAGCATGTGATAGGGACTGAGGAGAACCAACGGATGGCTGAAACGATGATTGCAGCAAATCGATGGGCTGCTAGACGCAAACATGAGACGAGCTGGCTTCCCCCTCGATCGAATTCGATGCGATTGGATACTAGTTTGCCCAACCCGGTAGAACGCTACTCACAATCGACTGGTAGAGGACCCTTGCCCGGTGGAAAACCAGGGATGATGAATTATGGTCTACCAAATGACCCTCCGGTCACTTGGACAGAGGACGGAGGACGTCTCAGCGAGAACGAAATGACTTGGAGGAGGGAGAACCGACGTTGTCTCAAATGTAGAAGTCCAGAACATTACGCCAACAACTGTCCAAATGGAGGAAATACGAGAAACAACATTAGGGGATCCCCAAACCCGCATAGCTCACCGATTCCTAGTGGATCGAACTCGATCCCAACTGGGTCCAAAGGGCCATTAGTTCGAGGAATGGAGGTGACCTTTGAAGAAGAGGGAAACGACTACCTGGCCTAAGTGATGCGACCACTTGCGGCCAGGATCTGCCCGGATCGCAGAGAATTCAAATACCAATAGATCTCAGTAATGACTCGGCCATAATATATATAAAAATACAAACAAAGAAAGATACCCTACAGATTGGAATGTTAATCGATACCGGGGCTACAGGAAGGTATGTGCAGCCGGCCTGTCCATTATACCATCTATTCCCAAAAAAACAATATCAGGTACCACGAAAAATTAGGTTCCTGGATGGAACTACCGCGACCTTAGTGACCGAATATGTAGAAGCAGAATTAGATCTAGGAAAAGGACTCAGGATTGCAACTCGACTGGATGTTATGGCATACGAAGGACCAGAAGTACTAGTAGGACTAGATTTCTTGAGACAGTTTAGGGCAAGGATCGATTGTGGAAAGGGACTGATCGAATTCGACGGAATTGGACGAGATACTGGTTGGAAATACCCAAGATTAGAAGAAGGATTAATAAGAGGAGCAACACTGGAGAAAGGGGAGGACGAAATGAGTGAGGAGGAACTGCGACAAATCATACCGACACAATGGCACCAATACCTCGAATTATTCAAGGTAGAAAGAGCAAGAAGACTACCACCAAGAAGAGAATGTGACCACGAAATCGAATTAGTAGCAGGGGCTGAACTAAAACCAGGACCAATTTACCAACTGGACGAGCATGGGGATGCTTTCCTGAAGCAGTGGATCAATGATGGACTGACTAGTGGACATCTGCGAAGAAGTAAATCGCCCTATGGGTCCCCAGTATTCCTGGTCCCCAAGAAAGGAGTCATTCCCTATCGAGTAGTTACAGATTACCGGGCACTTAACAAGGTAACCATTAAGGATTCATACCCAATGCCACTCATCTCGACACTACTCGATCGACTTCAATTAGGAAGGATCTTCACTAAACTCGATTTGAAAGGGGCTTACCAGTTAGTCAGAATAAAGGAAGGAGATGAACATAAAGCTGCCTTACGAACAAGATACGGCAGTTTCGAGAGCACAGTCCTAAGGGATGGGTTGTGTAATGCACCAGCCACCTTTCAGAACTTTCTACAAGACATGTTTCACGATCTACTTGACGAAGGGGTAGTAGTTTATATCGACGACATCACGGTATACTCCGACACGATCGAAAACCATCAGATCATTGTCCAAAAGGTGTTAGATCGACTACTTGAAAACGATTTGGTCGTCAGTCCGAGGAAATGCGAATGGAGTTCAAATGAAGTGAAGTTCCTGGGGTACGTAATAGGACACGAGCGGATCGAAATGGATCAAGAAAAGGTGAAAGCTATTCTAGAATGGGGAGAACCCATGACAGTCCGGGATATTCAAGTGTTCTTGGGTTTTGCGAATTTCTATCGGAGGTTTATCAAGGGGTTTTCGCATATTGTGGGACCTCTCACACGATTGACTAGGAAGGATCAAGCTTGGAACTGGACACAAGAATGCCAAAAGGCTTTTGACGATCTAAAGAAAACATTCACCACAGCACCAGTACTTCGACATTTTGATAGAACCCGACCGACTTGGATTGAAACCGATGGATCCGATTGCGCGATAGGTGCGATAGCGTCTCAGAGATTTCCTCACCCATCAATAAAAGGAACCACCGAACTTCACCCAGTAGCGTACTGGTCTCGAGCAATGACGCCCTGTGAGCTAAACTACACGGTGGGAGAGAAAGAATTATTAGCCATCGTGGATTGCTTGGTCGCCTGGAGACCCTACTTGGCTAACAGTAGTGATGTTATAAAGGTCATTACCGATCACAAGAACCTAGAATACTTCCAAAGCAAACGACAACTAAATCGAAGGCAGATGAGATGGTTGGAAATATTGGGAGACTTCAACATAGAGATCACTTATCGACCAGGGAGCAAAAATGGGGGAGCAGATGCTCTAACGAGACGAGGAGATTATCATCCGGGAAGAGGGAGTAGCAAGGACCCGAATCTTAACAAAGGCAACTGGCTACAATTGCTACCGACACACGAACAAATTGGATCGAATTCAATGGACTCAGAACACAAAGGACCAAGACACATAGTAAGAGGAGCAATCCGGGAAGACTCATTATTCGGACTCATCAAGAACGGACTGAAAGACTCAGAAG